TTTTTTTTTTTTCCTTTTAAACTTTGCCCATAGGCTATTTCATTCTATTGGCAGAATGAAGAAATGTAGAATTGAGTGTAGAAGCCTAGCACTGTATTTGTGTAGACAGAGAGAGATTTAATGGCTGTCCATTCAGACGGTATTATGAATTTTGTGCAGTGATTGACCTGGCAAAAGAGTACCTGGTAAATCATCAACTCAGATGAAAAAATTGTGTGTTTTGATTTGATTTGTTTTTTTGCTCTTTTTTTTTCCCCCAGACGAAAGTTTGCTCTATTTGACGAACAGCACCGTGAGGAAATGCGGAAGGAGCGGCGCAGGATCCAGGAACAATTACGGCGATTAAAACGGAACCAAGAAAAAGAAAAACTCAAGGGCCCTCCAGAAAAGAAGCCCAAGAAAATGAAAGAGCGTCCAGACTTGAAAGTAAACATATCCATACGTAAAGCCTGCTAACTGGTCTTGGGTATTGGAGAAGTTTTCTGTTCTAGTGATGTACTAAAGGTCTGACTAGGGAATTTTAATGATACTTTGCCTCTGAACTAGGAGCCTATGTACGAATTCTGATCTGCCATCTTTCTTGTATTTTTTCAGCTAAAATGTGGAGCATGTGGTGCAATTGGCCATATGAGGACTAATAAGTTCTGCCCTCTTTACTACCAAACAAATGCCCCACCTTCTAATCCCGTTGCAATGACAGAGGAGCAGGAGGAAGAGCTGGAAAAAACAGTCATTCACAATGATAATGAAGAACTCATCAAAGTAGAAGGAACAAAAATTGTCCTGGGAAAACAACTGATTGAGAGGTAAGGGAAGAAGCAGAGATACTGATTGGTGGTAAGAAAAAACAATTTAGAGTTCAGTGCAGAATACTTATACATCTACTAATCGCAGGAATAGTGACAGGGCTTTACATACACTTTTCCTACAGTATTTCGATTGTGTATTGAGTATTGTGGCAGATGAGACCAGAGCCAATACTGAGGGATAAATGGTCTTGATTCACGAGAGGGCTGGAGAAAGTATTACGCTTTCTTTTTTTTTTTTTTTTTTCTACCTAGTGCTGATGAGGTTCGCAGGAAATCACTGGTCTTGAAGTTTCCTAAACAGCAGCTTCCTCCAAAGAAGAAGCGGCGAGTAGGGACAACCGTTCACTGTGATTATCTGAATGTGAGTGAAGATGCTACTGAGCTGGTTGCAACATCTCTGTTTCTGTTTGTACCAACTGGCCAGTTTCTTTACTACTCCTGTGCATCCTCTGCATGCAACACAGATACCTGCCCAGTAAATTAACTAAATTGCCTAGGATTTCTGTGGGTAAATATTTTGCATCTTGGAACTACCTTAATTTTTCTGCCTCTCATTTCTTTAGCGTCCTCATAAATCTATCCACCGACGGCGAACAGATCCCATGGTGACACTGTCATCCATCTTAGAGGGCATCATCAATGACATAAGGGATCTTCCTAATGTAAGTTTAAGCTACGAGACCAAAAACATGTGCCTTAAACAATATGGTTGAAGTAGGTTATGTGTTGTAGACACCAAAATTAGAATAGACTTTTCTCAGGTGAGTGGTGTGCCACCCCTTTCCCCCGTGCCCTGCACACAGTTGGTATGCATTATTTCATAAGTTTTCTCAGCTCAGAATCTTTTTTGAGATGAAAACGTCCATATCAGAAAATAATGGTGAATAGTTCTTTATGGATGCATATTTAAAGCCTGGGATGTGTTTGTTTTTTGGTTTGGTTTTTTTTTTTTTTTTCAACAAAACCAGAACGAGATGCATAGCAATGTGGAATACTTTTATATATGTGACACTGAAGAAGATTGTGTACTTCACTGTTTCTGACCAGGTTTTACCAGAAACTTGCAAAATCAAAAGATTAAATGGAAGATTTGAGTTGAAATGAGAATTTAAAGTTGTTTCTTGACTTTTGTGCTGCATAACCAAAAATATAATCTGAGAATTCTTCGTTAAGATTTTTCTTGATAACAATGGTATTGAAGAACATTTTGTAGAAGAAAGTGATAGCCACTGTGGGGCTGAGCTTACTGTATTTTCCCTGATGCAGTTAAGGAACCGATTGTGTAAAGGTTTTATACATTAGTGCCTATTCAACTGTGGAGGTTAAACTGAGATTAGCTGTGCTAGTACTGTGTTAATAAGCTTTGATTTTTTTCTTTTCGTTCTCAGACATACCCCTTTCATACACCTGTAAATCCAAAAGTTGTCAAAGATTATTACAAGATTATTACTCGGCCCATGGATTTACAGACCCTGCGTGAAAACGTTCGTAAGAGGCAGTACCCATCCCGAGAAGAGTTCAGAGAACATCTAGAACTAATTGTGAAGAACAGTGCGACATACAATGGTAGGCTATTAACAATGCAGGGTAACTGTTTCTGCTAATTTGTTGTACATATATGAAGCGTAGATCTTTAACTTTTAGAAATAATGAAAGCAACAGAAAAGCAGAATAAATTCCCTGTCAGATGGCAACAATAAAGATAGTTTTTCCAGATATACCTGAAAGACTGTATTAATGTTAATGAGCTAATTCATAGATAAGAGAGAAGTGGAACCTAGCATTTAACAGTAACTAAATGATGACTGTGATGTATTAACTGAAGTACAGTTATGGACCTGTCAATGACTGAAGGCACTGGTGCATGTATTAAGTCAAACTTCACTGAAGCGAAGTCCTGCATATGCCCTTCATATAGAGTGAAGCCAAGCACAACATTGTTTTCTGTAGACTACGTTATGAGTGTCCTTCCTTTTTACTTTCAGATATGGATCGGTGGGGAGATACTTGTGAACTTTTCTCAATATTATGGTTTAGCGAGTGAATCTTTCAATACGAATAGTCACACCTTTTGAACCCATTACCTTGGAGCACGCAGCTTTGAGTAGAGTTTACTGTAATGATTTTACAATAAATTTTTCCCCATTTGAGAAGGTCAGAAAGCTAGTTAAAAAAAAAAAGAAAACGCATAGATTCTGTAGTAGAACATGCATCTGCTGGGGAAAAGTGCTGATTCATTGAGCAACTATGGGTCAGCTGTATTCTGACCGCTGATGGAAGGGTCTTTGTCCAAAAAGTATTTATTCAACAGATTAAAAAACCTCCCAGTCGCATTGAGTCTCTCTGGGCTGTGTAACTTTTGAGATGACACTAACATTATTTTTACACCTAAGTCCCTATTTCATCCTAATAAATGAGATTTTTTTCCTATGTCTGTTGCAAATACTTGTTTCCATGTCTGAGGAATCATGAAATTATTTAAAGCTGTGGTTTTCTGAATATTCCTTAAATGTCGATCTTGCCTTACTTAGTAGTTCTGCTTCACTGACTGGATTTAGTGAAGGAAACAGAAATTTAATGAGTTACACTCTGAAAGTTTGGCAAAGGTGGAAGGCATAGAGGCCAGTCTTCCACAGGTACAGCTGCTTTCCCATAGGATTTCCAAACCTTAACAGAATATTTACCCCAAGTGTGAATATTTGCTACGAATAACCTTTTCTCATATAAAGTCCATACTAAACTTTAGTAATTGTTTGTATTGAGAATATACATGAGGATATACTCCCAACTGTGCTAGAAATGTAATCAGTGATGCTTTAGGAGTAAAGATTAGTTCATACTGTGACATAACTGGCCTTTTTAATAAGTCTGGAGTGTCTCACTGTACTTGCTATGTGTTTGCAGGGCCAAAGCACTCACTGACACAGATATCTCAGTCCATGCTTGACCTGTGTGATGAAAAGCTAAAAGAGGCAAGTCTTGTGAATGAGTTGTGATCAGAGTGGACAGGGAGGGATGGTCAGGGGTGGTTGAGGGGTTTGAGGATAGACAATGTGAGTAGGCAAAATGCACGCATTTAAGAAGAGTAGAAGAGTAAGGGAACTCCTCCCTCCACCCTGGGTGTATTGGATTTTTTATGATTTTAAACAGTTCACATTGGAGTCTTTCTCAAAAAACAGATGCTTGTTTGTTACTCTAGTTACTTTATCTTGTATGTAGGTTTATATCTAGACTATTATCCTCCCTTATTTACAAGTGTCTTCATAAAAAGCTGAATAGGAGTCTCTGGGACAGAGTATGCTGATATTACCAATTATTAATTTAGGGTCTGATATTCCTTACTTTTATTGCAGAAGGAAGATAAACTGGCTCGATTAGAAAAAGCAATTAATCCTCTCCTGGATGATGATGATCAAGTAGCCTTTTCCTTCATTTTGGATAACATTGTCACTCAAAAGATGATGGCAGTCCCAGATGTATGTAGCTTGAGTAGAGTGTGTGTGTGATCTGCAAACATGCTGATTATAGTCCTTTGGCTGTATATTTACATTGTGGTTGTTAGTGCACTGCAAAAAAAAAAAAGAGTACTCTGTCAGGGAGCTGCCCTGTGACTTTCTGACTGTCACAGACACGCTTGTACTCACCCCCTTTACTGGAGCAAAGGTCCAGAAGTGAAGGCACTCTTCCAGTTTGTTTTCCTGCTGCTGTTATTCCTGGGTAGTGCCTCTGTCAACCTCCCATTAGTATGAAGTCACTGACCTTCATTAAGCATGGTCATTATAAAACATAATCTTCTCCAGCTGCTCGTAGCACTTGCTTTGGTAGATCTCAAAGCACTTTGCAAAGGTACAGTTTTCAGGTGTAAATGAAACACAAGCTGATTTCTAATTGATCAGGTTTACCTAGTGATGTACTAATTCGTTAGTATTAAAAAAAAATCCAACACATTAAGCTTACCAAATAAAACCACACAGATAAGGACTTGAGTGTCATTCATTCATAATCTGTATTATGTCTGAATGGAGTAAAGAATGAGAGTCTGTAGTGGTTAGACTGAATGAGAGAGGGCTTATTGCCTGTCCTCTTTAAAACTTCGTTGGTTCCATTCTCTGTTGCCACCAAGTTCTCATTTCTGCTGTTTAGAAACAGATATTACAGTTTTTCTATGCCATCACCCCATGATGAACTGTTAAATTTGTGTATACATAACCCCCATTGTGGGATCAGACCTAGGTTTCTATTCTTTGTTTATTGTACAAGCAATGAATGTTCTTGCTGGACACAGCAGTTATGTTGTGGAGGAAACAGTGATATTAAATAGAAAAGTCTTTTGCATGGTTATTATTTTGTATTACATGTTCCTACTGTCAAACAGGTAACAACAGGCCAAGTTAAAAATCCAACCGGTAGATCATTTTTCTGTGTCACTCCTGAAGCTAAATGATTGGATTCAAGATGCTTTGTGATAAATATTTCTCATACATTTTGAGTGTTAATCGGTTCTGGAGACTTGTTTTATGAAATTTGTAGCTCAAACTGTAAAAAATTCTACACAGCAGCTTTCTAAACTTGCGTGTTTTCTTTCCTTCAGTCTTGGCCGTTTCATCATCCAGTTAACAAAAAGTTTGTTCCTGATTATTACAAGGTGATTGCTAATCCAATGGATCTGGAGACAATCCGCAAGGTGTGTAGCTTGAACTGAGCAACCGCTTGAGAGATATTTAGACTTGATTGCTTACTGGGTGACAATCTCTTCCAGAATATCTCCAAACACAAATACCAGAACAGAGAGACTTTCCTGGATGATGTTAACCTCATCCTTGCCAACAGCATTAAGTACAACGGTAGGTGGTGAAAATGAAACTTCAATTGCCTTCTGTACTTAAATGAATACATCTAGGCACCTGTTCTGTAGTGCTGTCAAAGCCCGTAGCTGTGAATTCTGAGCTTGATTGTTGCTTTCCTTTCCTACTGAGGAAAGAGATGCTTAAACTGATGTTTTCACTGTCATGTGGCGCTTTATTTAGCATCCTGTGCAGAATGAGGCAGTTACACTTGGGGGAGATTTTCTACTTGTTCAGTACACATCTCTGCCTCAGTGATTTGTTTCTGGGAATTTCCTTGAGATTGACAGGGTACAACCTTCCTGCCTCCTAAATCATATTTTTAATGCTGGAACAAACTGGTTGCTCTTTGTTAGCGGAATGTGAATCCTGCTTAGATCAGAAGGTGCTGGGATTTAGGGACCTGTGTTGTGAGAGCTGTGTAACCAAAACCAGTCTTTCTGTCTCAACATCTGGAACTGAGCAAATGTCAAAATGCATAAAGAGATTTGTTTCTTACTACAGGGCCAGACAGTCAGTACACAAAAACAGCCCAGGAGATTGTAAACATCTGTTATCAAACTTTAGCTGAGGTATGTGGACAAGTCTACTGTAGTATCCTTTGTATGTTTGAATTTTCTGTTCTGTAAACTTAGCAAGCTTCTTTGTCCTTAGTATGATGAGCACCTGACTCAACTTGAGAGAGACATCTCTACTGCTAAGGAAGCAGCACTAGAGGAGGCAGATCTGGAGAGTCTTGATCCTATGACTCCTGGTCCCTACACTCCACAGGCAAGTGACCAAACAATGTTTTCAGTTCCTTTTTTTTTAGTTTCAATCTCCTGGATGTTTGATCTAGAGATGCCTCTTTGTTTACTGTTCTCCATCTGTCTGCAGTTTGTCTTTTAGTAGAGTATCTTGTTGGATGGTGTGCTAACAGCTGTTTTTTAAGGATAAATATTAGAAGCAGTTATGATGCTTCATAGAGTGAGATACCTAAGATAAGGTAATTTCCCAAGAAACTTGCAAAACTGATCTCAAGATGAGCTGTGTACAGTCAGGTACAACTGAATGTTGGTTGGAAATACAAAGGCTGTGCAAGTGTAGCAGGTAGAAACGCTCTGAAGGCAAGCAGTGAAAAGGTAAGAACCTGAGGAAAAAACATCAATGCTGTAGTGCTGAGAAGTCAGAGAGCTGTTTGATGGGGATATTGCTGAAGAGGCTTATTGCTATGAGCAAAGAATCTGCCTAATATGGTGTGCAAGGATTATGTGGTGGGGTTTTGGTAGTGGGGGAGGGGCTGCAGAGATAGTCCCTGTAAGGAGATGCAAGAAGCTTCCCTGGCTCCAAAACCATTCGGACTCACTTCTGGCCAGGGCTGAGCCAATCGGCACCTCTGTGAATAAACACATTTAAGAATATGAGTCCTTCCCATGGAATCCAGTCGTTATCCAACAGACTCTTCCAGCACGGGCTTTTTCCCATGAAGCCATAGCTCCTTAAGGCACAGCCACCTGCCTGGTGTGGAGCCCTCCACGGACTGCAGATGCATCTCTGCTCCACTCTTTCTCTCAGCCATGTGGAGTCCTTTCCCACGGGAGACAATCCTCTATGAACTCCTTTGGGCGCAGGCATGTCAGCTTTGGCATGGGGTCCTCCACGGGCCACAGGTAGATCTCTGCTCCACCATTAATCTTCATGGGCTTCAGGGGGACAGCCTGCTGTCTCACTGTGGGCTGCAGGTGAATCTCAGCTCCGACACACCTCCTCCCACTCCATCTTCACTGACCTTGGTGTCTGCATAGCTGTTTCTCTCAGATCTCAGTCCTGTCTCTGCTGCAGCTGTGTTGGGTCCAATGAACCCTGGTTCTGGCAGAACAAACTCTGCCCAGTGGGTGCCCTGGGAGCAGGGCGCTTCGCAGCACTCCAGTCTGCAGCACCGCAGCCATCTCCAGATATTATTATTTTATAGCAAACAACTGGGTGTGTCAGTTGGGGTTTCTTATGTGTTATAGACCAAGTTAAAAGCGAAATTTGTACTGGAGATTGTGTGACAGACTGCTTTTTCAGTGTTAACAGTTTGGCAAAGTTTTATAAGCTATTTAGACTTTTTTTTTAAAAAAAAAAAAACAACCCGCTGCTTCTTGCCTTTGTCTGGTTGTTTTTAAAAACATCAGTAAAAAACTTCCACTAGGAATGACAAGTTCATTCCTGAAAAATAAAATGGCCTTTGGAATTTGCCTGATAAAATTAGGTAATGGTTCAGGGAATGTCATCCTAGTGTCTTAGATGTGCCTTTTGTTTATTTGAAAAAAATGTTGAAGTTCATAAGCTTTGGAAAAGATCCCTCTGCTAATAACTGCATGATCAAAATTTAAATGTTGTATATTCAGTGTAGGAAAAAAGCTTTCTTTGTGGTTGTTCATCCCAATTGTAGACCAATAATTTTTCTATTCTGTTCAAATCTGGGGTGATTACATCTGGAAAGTTGCATTTAATTTTAGTAAAGACAGAGCAGAAAAGAGGGACTTGAAGTTCAGGAACAATTTAAGCTCTCATAAAGATTATTTTTAAGAGAAAAATGAGTTTAAATTTTTTTTAAGCAATAAATACACGAAGATTACATAGCTGGAGCCAGGATAGCAGGCTACAAATAATTCTGGGGCAATATTAACACCCTGCGTCTATCTCTCCCCACAAAAAACAAACAACAAAATGTAGCATTTTAAGAAGCTAGAAAGAACTTGCTAGGAATGATGATTGAATTCAATGGGGTGGGAATACTGAAACTGAGTATCACAGAAAAAGACCTTCCTGGCAATGGGAAGTGTCAGGCTGCAAGAGAGTCTTTGGAGATCAGTTGTTAAAACTATCTATTGACACGTATCAAGGAAGATGAGATGGAATTGAGAATGATCCCAATACCTCAGAGAACGAGGGAGGAAAATGTCATTCTTCTCTCTCTTTTGCTTCCCAAGAGCAGTATTACCTGCTCTGATTTTTTCCCAAGTTGGTCATCAGGAGAGAGGAAAAGAGGCCTGAGCAGTGAACTGCCTTTTAGCTGTCTGCTCCTTCTCTGTGCGTGCCGAAGGAGAGAGCTTCCTGAGCTTCTCCCTTGAACTTGTCATCTGAAGGCCACCCTTTCCCTCTGCTTCTTGGCTGGAGGTACACTCTCGCTTCCCACACTCCCAAACTTGTCACAGATGGCAGGACTGGTGATGGTTGCTTGGCTTTAGTTCCCTTTATTTCAAATGCAGTTGTGATGACTAATATTTATCTCCCCATATGTGTCTTCAGGAGTTGGAGTCCAGGATATAGAAAGCAAATACAGCAAGTAGAGAGCTGTCTGTGGTTTACATGTCTGTTTGAATTCTTAGGAAGCCTGTTTTGCCTAACTTAATAATGCTGCTGCTCTTAACACTTTTAGGATTGTTGTGATACATAAACTGTTTATTATAAGGACATTTTATCAAAATGCCAATCTGTAATTCCTTATTAACTCTTCAGAGGTCAAATGGCGTGCAAACTACAGATTGGCTTTTAGAACACTTTATCCAACCTCCTTCCCCTTTATTCTTGCCTTTGTCAGCTTTAGGGACTCTTGAGACAGTGATTTACATAGAATTGATTGAAAGTTGACGCTTTGCTATTTCATGATAGACTTTTTCCACTTCTGATAACAGCATTTGTGGTTGCAACACCATTTCCAGTGTAGGAATAGCAATTAAAAGGGCCATGCTGAGTCAAACCAAAGGTTGATGTAATCAAGTCTCTGGCAGGGACCAGAAGTAAGTGGATGCAAACATAAAGAGATCCTTCCTACAGTGAAGCCGCTCTGCTTCTGGCAATTGGCTGTTCAGGCACCTTAAACTGGTGTTGCATCTGGACCATTGTACTTATGAGTTGCAGAGAGGCCTATTCTCTGTAAATCTGTCTAATCCTTTTGGAGTCCATTTGGATTTTGGCCTCTGTAGGATTGCACTGCATAGAAGTACTGACTTCTATTTTAAAATCTGCTATTTGGCAATCTTCAAACCTGAGGTTGCGAGCCATTGCATTTTACCATGTTTGTTCTTTAAGAATAAATAGCTTATTTTGATTAAACAGTGCTTAATAATATAAACACCGTGCCAAAAAAATGCATTTTGCATTTAGTCCTCAAATCCCAGTTTTGCCTCTCAAGATACTGTTCTAGTCTCAGTTCAGTGCCTGAGAATGTTATGTCTCCTGTTTCCACATATACTTTAGCCACCTGATTTCTATGATACCAACACTTCCCTCAGTGTGTCACATGATGCTTCAGTCTATCAAGATGAGAGCAATTTGTCTGCTATGGACACTCCCATCACTACCTCAGAGAAGCGAGGAACTCAGGTCAGAATCCTCCATTTTTTCATGTGGTTGGAGAGTTGGGTTGTGTAAGCAAATTACTGAAAGGAGGCCGTTACTTAGCAGGAAACAGGTGACAAAGATCAGCAGGTTTTCCAAACAGAGAAGTGAATCCATTTCAAAACTTATGCAATTTCCTTAATTTTGACTGCTCTGAGGGAAAAAAAAAATTTAAAGAGCACTGGGAATTGAGACACTGCAAAACAAAGAATAGAGAATCAACAGCTGCAAAAGAATCTGCCTAAGGTCAGATATTTGTTTGCTTCACTGCTTCTGGGAGTAGAAACCTGGTGACTCATGCTACAAAGGGCTAATACGCAATCCATTGTTGATGCTGAATAGGGAAATAGTGAAGTATATTCTACAGATTTGGAAGATGATAACTAGATTATTATGGTTGCATCCAGTGACAATTAGAAGCTTTACAAACACCTAGGAATAGATGGTTGCCACTGTAGATACTTTATAGTTGTAAAAAAACCCCACAAACAGAGAGGTTAAAGGTATTAATTATACATGAAGTTGTTACAGTAACCACAGAATATTTTTTCTTAGTCTTTATTCTGTATTAAAAAAATATCGGAGGAGACTGAATAGCAGAAGGAAATGCAGTAATATGACCATGAAAATAAATCACTAGGAGGAGGAAGAAGGTGAGGAGGGCCACGAAACCAAAGGTAGTACCAGAAAGATTAGTGAGAGCTATTCTGAACAATCCAGACAAGCAGAGATTGAATATGAATAGTTCCATCTAGTATTGTGACTGGCTGTAGCTTTGAAAATGCTTTCTAGATTTGGAAGTCTTCAAGCTTTCTGTAGACTTTCAATTTATAGTGTTTGGGACAGAATCTGCATGTTGTCTTTACCTTGGACACATGGTGACTGAGGGAGGAACAGGAGACAGAAGGGCAGGAGGAGATTTGTTTGAAATTGCTGTCTGCTTTTAAAATATTTTGTGAAAATAAGCATTTTCTAAGATTTAGTGGTATTTTCCAGAAATAAACAAAGAACTCTGGTGCTGCAAGGCTGGAGATTTCCTTTTCAAGGACGAGCACATGAGGATAAATGTGTGTGGACACTGTGTGCTCTCTGATCTTGGCATAAAAAGAGAAAGGATCCTTGCTATGAGAGTCATATACATATGTTTTTCATTTTGTCTTTCCCCCCTGTACTCCCGCACCCATCATTGTGGTCCAGATGTCAGCCATACCCTTTGGTTTATGTCCAGCAGTGCCTTCCTCAATGGTATTGTTATTTGTGTTCCCCATTCAGATGCGCCAGGGGCGAGGTAGGCTGGGCGAGGAAGACTCTGATGTAGATATTGAAGGGTTTGATGAGGAGGATGATGGGAAACCTAAGACTCCAGCCCCAGTGAGTATATTTACAGAAATCCCAGCCAACAGTCTACATGTTGACTTGCATACTTGTAGTAGAAGTCTCCATAGTACAAGGGTTGTCTGCTGTGTCTGCCACCCTGGAAGACAGCAGTATTCACAGCAGTAGCTAGACTTAAACATTTAGTTTTAAACTGTTAGCATGATGAAATGGTTGAATACTTCAGAATGAACAGTGTGATGAAAAATAAGCATATGCTCGAAATGGCAGCAGTAGTTTGTATGTTGTTTGATCTTCACTGTTCCTGTTCTGTATGACCTAGGAAGTTGAAGATGCAGATGGTGACCTTGCTGATGAAGAAGAAGGATCAGCCCAGCAGCCCCAGGCTAGCGTCCTCTATGAAGATTTGCTCATGTCAGATGGAGAGGATGATGATGATGGGAGTGATGAAGAGGGAGATAATCCTTTCTCATGTAGGTGTCCCTTTTTATAAAAGTGTGAATAGGAACTGGTTGTTCACAAACCCAACTTATCTTTTCATGCTTCCATCACAAAAACTTGCAGTAGAGAGCATAGAGCATAATTGGGATATGTAGGCCAGGTGGTCTAGTAGTCAAAAGGAAGAGAGACCAAAGGGCAAGATGAGAAAACTGGATGAACATAAATGGAACTGAAAACAAAGTGGAATAGGAGTGCTGTAAGTACGGACACAAAAGAAAGCAGAGTTAAGACAAGATCTGGTCGATTGTGTTTCATAAAGTGAAACTGCAAATGTTCCTGAAAAGACTGGGACAATGATTTGGTGTGCAGAGCTAGGAACGGGCAGTTTAGTAAAAGCATAACATTTATTTTGATATGAAACAGTGTGGTCAGTGTTATCGAGAACTGGAAGAGGGGTCTGGAGGTTGTTCAGATTGCTTCTCTGTTTTTCTAAAAAACTTGCCATGCAGAAAAGCTTATGGTGGTATTTCTTGATGCCGTTTGAAAATTATTAGGAGGGAAGAAAGGGGAATTGTTCAGAGTAGACAAGCAAATAAGGCCTTTTTGAATAATGGTGGTAATGAGATCACTTATGAGTAACATCAGAATTGCGTACTTGGTAAGTGGCATCATCTCCCAGATACCCCATCTGCTACTTTGTGGAAACACTACTTTGTATATGTTCCTTACAGTGTTGTAGCCTTTAAACAGAGATAATGGGTAGGTAACTGACAGAGTAAAACTGTTGATTTGTGACCAGATGTTGGTTTCTTACACAGCCATCCAACTGAGCGAGAGTGGCAGTGACTCAGATGTGGAGCCCAGTGCAGTGAGACCTAAACAACCTCATGTTCTTCAAGAGAACACGCGAATGGGCATGGACAATGAAGAAAGCATGATGTCTTACGAAGGAGATGGTGGGGAGACATCTCATATTATGGAGGATAGTAATATCAGGTAATAAGAGCAAAGAATCTTGTTAAAATAATTCTTCAGTCCAAAATCCCTTCTCTTAAAGATTTCTGAAGTGTTTATCATAAAAAGCTGACTATCTCAGGTTTTTTCTTTTAAATTATTTTGTCACAGTTTTTAGTGTTGCAACCATAATTATCATAATTGCAATTTACTTTTTATTGACAGAAATTTGGTTTTGCTGTTGGATTTTCACTAATGTTAGTTAAATTTAAAAAAAAAAAAATGTTCATGGAAGTTAGATGATTTCCTGTACGTAGTGGGTTTTGAAGGCAGGGTAAGTAAAGGTGTTTATAGGTTATCTTGGAAACTACAAGATGCCTTTGAAGTTAAAAGATGATTTAGCTGATTAAGTTCATGGTGTTTTTTTTTTTTTTTCCTCTAAGAATAAGCATTTCCTTACTTGAAAGGAAACTGCTTAGTTGAAGTCCAAAAGAAGAGGAATATGCATATGCTGTATTTTGGAAGGAGTGAATATTATTAGAAAATGACAAGTACAGCAATATCAGCTTTATTTTTTTGCATTTGCTTGAGGGAATACTGACCTACTCTTCCTTCTGTGGCCATTCTGTAGAGTAATAGCTTTAGAATCTCCGTTCTTTTTCTGCTCATGGAATTCAGTCCCTTAATGCTATTATTGATATTTGCTTAATAAATTATTGTACAGGTAGTTATCCTGGGTCACGAGAATGGTCGGTCCAGCCCAGTACCACGATGGTAGTCAGCAGAAAGTGCTAAAGATGATGATGAGAATGGGCTATCTGCTTTGCTATCTGCAGTAAAGGTGACAGATGGAAGGTGTTGGAGCAATTGGTTTTTCCTGTCCCCGGTGTATCAAAGCGGGATAAGGATGCTGGTAGATAATTGTTTCATCAGGAGGACTGTTTTATTTTCAAAAGCTGGCCATGGACAGAATGAAGTGCATAGTTGTTCCGAGTGTTGCACAAGGACTTCAAGGCAGGGACCTTTTGCAGGAGTTAAATACAGAGTTCTCAGTATCAGAAGCTGATTTGAAATGATGATATAGTAAGAGTATCTTCTTTCTTCTAGTTACGGCAGCTATGAAGAACCAGACCCAAAATCCAACACAAGAGATACTAGTTTCAGCAGTATTGGAGGGTATGAGATCTCAGAAGAGGAGGAAGAGGAGGAGCAGCAGCGCTGTGGGCCAAGCGTATTAAGTCAGGTCCATCTATCAGAGGATGAGGAAGACAGTGAGGACTTCCATTCCATTGCAGGAGACAGTGACCTGGACTCAGATGAATAAACTTTCCCAAGATGATGGTCATCCTGGGCCACTCTTGGCTTCTGAATTTCTCATCCCAGTTTGGTATAAGGAACAGTGTAGCATGGACTGTGTGGAGAACTAGATTTTTAAAACACAGTATTTTAATCAGTTGCAAAACATGTTATGTGACTGAGTAAATTGTGAAAAATAAGCTTTAGACAAGCATGCCCTGCTCAAGTTTTGGGTTGTTGTAGCCTATACTAGTTCCAGAATCCAGATGAAGATTTGTATTGTTACAGATGTAAAATAATTTTTCATAATACTGGCCTGTTGGATACATGCATGTCTGTCAGGAGAAAAAAGCTCACTCAGAATAAAATACCTGCTTCTGATAAACAACCATAAACTAATTTTCATTTCACAGAGGGAAGGTTTTTCTCTGGGACCATGGCATGAACGCAGCGTCTGAAGTCCTACCCCAGGCTGGTTTTTGGTAATTGCCTGACTACTTTTAATACAAAGCAGCAGTAAACAGCTGCCCTATTTTTTTTTCAAAAGTTGCACTTAATCCCAGAAGTCAGAATTTGGAAATTTGAGTCTTCAAGAAGCCTCGTAATTGACAGGAGATTCCTCATTTTCAACCGCCTGGAAAGCATGCGCAGACCGGGGGCTTCGGTACCGAATTCTGCCGTGGAACCCCGGAGTTGGTGTAAAGACAATTCGAGGTTCACAGACGCTCCTGCTGCACCCGCCGCCGCCGCAGCGCTCCGCGCGACAGAGGGCGGTTGCGCACGCGCAGTTCCGCTGCGTTTGTCGCAACGACTTTGCGCGGAAGGATACCGAGGCTGGCACATACGGCTCTGCGCTTGGCAAGCGCCCGCTTGCGCGCCGGAGGGCGGGCTTGGCGGAAGAAGACGGAGGCAGTTCCGGTGGGGGGTCCGTCCGCCGCACGAGGGCGTACG